TCCTCCTCCTCCTCCTCCTCCTCCTCCTCCTCCTCCTCCTCCTCCTCCTCCTCCTCCTCCTCCTCCTCCTCCTCCTCCCCCTCCAAGGGTCCCCACGGGTGCGGCCTGGCGCTCCTCGGCCCTCAGCAGGCCCGCGGCGCGCCTCGGCCGCCGCCGGGGCAGAGCGCGGCCCCTCGGGCGCGCCGGGGGGCGGCGGCGGCGGCGAGGGCGGCGATCACGAGGCAGGCCGACGACGACGAGGACGGCGACGAGGACGTCGAGGACGACGAGGACGACGAGGACGAGGACGAGGACGAGGACGAGGACGACGGCGGCGGCGGCGACGACGGCGGCGGCGGCTGCGGCGGCGGCGAAGCCGGCGACGGCGACGGCGGCCGCGGCGGCGGCCCAGCGCAGATGAAGGCGAGGATGAGGGCGACGGCGAGGAGTGGGAGGGCGAGGGCGACGTGGGACGGGGGCGGCGAGAGATACGGCGACACGAGGAGGGCGCGGTGGGGGATCGGCAGATGGTCAGAGCTGGGAGCTCGGCAGCAGCAATCGATCGCTGTCTGGCCCATGCAGCGACGCGCGAAGTGCGATTGCCTTGCCGCCACCGCAGGTGACCAAGGACGGTGGGAGAACGTTAGACGAATCGACCACGAGGACGAGAGGACGAAGACGACGAAGACTGGGACGACGACGGAGTCCCGGAGTGGAGGATTCGGCCTCCGTTCGATGAGACATATCTCTTCATGTGGAAACCACTGGGCTCCGGGACGCCCCGGGTTATCTCTGGACGTCTTCCTCTACCATCAAAGACGGTTTCCCTTCAACGCTTGGCCCTCCAATGCGTCGAAAACAACCCGGGACGAAACGCCGTCCCTGGAGGCGACGCCGTTGTCTGCGGAGCAGATGAGGCCAGAAGCCAGAAGATCTACTCTGGGAGGTTTCTTTCATGCCCACACATCCGACGTCGTACAACGTGGCTCCCCAGAGGTCTGGACCTCTTCCGCAGGGCCAGCTTTTCATGCTGACTCATTTTGTTGATGGTCCTGAGGTCGGGTAAGTGCCCCGACCGCTGCACATAGCCAAAAACTTCCCGTCCTGCTGTCTTTTCACGACGCGAGGATGTCATGGTCTTCGGAGCGAATAGAGCCAGAGGGTCCACTCGGGACGGGCTTCTCTGCATGCTGCATGCTGAAGCTCGTGGACTGCGGGGAGCCCTCCGGGGGGTTCGGGAGCAGGCGAGCCCAGAGGATGTAATGCATAATGCTTGAGGAGGAGGAGGAGGAGGAGGAGGAGGAGGAGGAGGAGGAGGAGGAGGAGGAGGAGGAGGAGGAGGAAGATGGGGCATGGGATGCGGCGGCCGTTCCAGGCGGCTGCGCGAAAGCAGAGGCCCTTCGCAGGAGCGACATATGCCGCGCGGCCCGACAGCCATCCGTCGTGCTACCACGCGGAGCGCCGAACAAGGAACGAATGGGTCTGTTGCCGACCGCGAATCTCGGCCACGGGCCCCAGCAATCCGCCGACCCTTCGGCGTGTGTGTCGTTTTTCCGTTTGAATCGTCGTCGTCGTCGTCGTCGTCGTCGTCGTCGTCGTCGTCGTCGTCGTCGTCGTCGTCGTCCAGTCCCCAGGAGATGGGAAAATAAGGCAAAGGAAAGCGCGTGGCTCCGTCGACTCCCGTCCCCAGCCTTTCCTTCCCTGACAGGGGTGGTGTGGAGGTGTGGGGGGGGAGCGCGGGGAGGGGGTCTGGAGCACCCCGTGGGTTGGTTGGGGGTGTTTGGTTGGGGGGGGTTGGGGAGGCGTGGGGTTAAGTCGGGCCTGTTCCTCTACATGAGGAAAATTCAAAAGTAGTCAAAACATAGTCCGGGGACGATGTTTCGACTGCTTTTGGCTTGTTTTGGCATAGTTCTAATTTTTCGTCGAAGATCGCCCTGTGGGGGAACATGCCCGACCTAAGGGTGGGGGTCCTGGGGAGGGGCTGGGGAGGGGGTGCCCTGGTCAGAACTCCACCCGGGCAAGGGCTGCGAAACCCGTGGCTGCTAAAACCGACCTCCGGGAAGTTGTCGTCGTCCTTCCGGGAAGAAGCCCGTTGATTGTTTCGCGTGCCGCGCCTCATTCTCAGGAGCGGCCAAGAGGGGGGTGTCCAAGAGGGGGGGGTGCAAATCATGAGCGGCGGCATGTGCGCGGCCCAGCGGGGGGGCCTGGGACGTAATCAAATAAGAATAGGCGCCATGAAATCTGAGGAAAAATCATGGCCCGCGCCATGAAATCCCCCCCCCCTATCCTATCATCACCCCCCTCTTTTCCGCTCCCGACATTCCGGGAAGTTGTTGTTTCTTCCTTCCAGGAGGGCCGTTTCAGCAGCCACGGCTTTATAGCAGCCCCCGCCAAGCTTCCGAGAGTCGCCAGCTGGGGGGGTCCTGCCTGCTGGGCCGGCGGCACCGGCCGCAAGGCCCTCGCCATCAGAGCGCGCCTCCGGAGCCCAAGGCTCGAGCGCCCTTGCTGTAGCGCGCCGCCGGGGGGTCACACCCGCAGCGCTACAGGGCGATTTTCGATGAAAAATAAATAATATTCTGAAATACGCAAAACATGACAATTAGCCTGGCGAAGGACCCAACCATATGCAGCTGCGAGTACCGCAAGGATACCAGTGTCAAGCTCCCCCCGACCTTCGGTGGAGATCCCTATGGGGCCACGAAACGTGTGAGGGGTGTGCCGAAATGGGTGTTGGGGAGTGCCGAAATGGGTGGTGGGGAGGCATGCGAACCCTGCCACTGGGGCCTTCGGTGGAGCTCCCTATGGGGCCACGAAACGTGTGAGGGGTGTGCCGAAATGGGTGGTGGGGAGGCATGCGAACCCTGCCACTGGGGCCTTCGGTGGAGCTCCCTATGGGGCCACGAAACGTGTGAGGGGTGTGCCGAAATGGGTGGTGGGGAGGCATGCGAACCCTGCCACTGGGGCCTTCGGTGGAGCTCCCTATGGGGCCACGAAACGTGTGAGGGGTGTGCCGAAATGGGTGGTGGGGAGGCATGCGAACCCTGCCACTGGGGCCTTCGGTGGAGCTCCCTATGGGGCCACGAAACGTGTGAGGGGTGTGCCGAAATGGGTGGTGGGGAGGCATGCGAACGCAGCCACTGGGGCCTTCGGTGGAGCTCCCTATGGGGCCACGAAACGTGTGAGGGGTGTGCCGAAATGGGTGGTGGGGAGGCATGCGAACGCAGCCACTGGGGCCTTCGGTGGAGCTCCCTATGGGGCCACGAAACGTGTGAGGGGTGTGCCGAAATGGGTGGTGGGGAGGCATGCGAACGCAGCCACTGGGGCCTTCGGTGGAGCTCCCTATGGGGCCACGAAACGTGTGAGGGTGTGCCGAAATGTGGGCGCATGCGACGCAGCCAACGACGTGTGAGGGGTGTGCCGAAATGGGTGGTGGGGAGGCATGCGAACGCAACCACTGGAGGCATGCTTCTGGGGCCTTCGGGAGCTCCCTATGGGGCCACGAAACGTGTGAGGGGTGTGCCGAAATGGGTGGTGGGGAGGCATGCGAACGCAGCCACTGGGGCCTTCGGTGGAGCTCCCTATGGGGCCACGAAACGTGTGAGGGGTGTGCCGAAATGGGTGGTGGGGAGGCATGCGAACGCAGCCACTGGGGCCTTCGGTGGAGCTCCCTATGGGGCCACGAAACGTGTGAGGGGTGTGCCGAAATGGGTGGTGGGGAGGCATGCGAACGCAGCCACTGGGGCCTTCGGTGGAGCTCCCTATGGGGCCACGAAACGTGTGAGGGGTGTGCCGAAATGGGTGGTGGGGAGGCATGCGAACGCAGGCCTTCGAGCCTCCCTGTGCAGCCACGCTCCCTATGGGGCCACGAAACGTGTGAGGGGTGTGCCGAAATGGGTGGTGGGGAAGCATGCGAACGCAGCCACTGGGGCCTTCGGTGGAGCTGCCTATGGGGCCACGAAACGTGTGAGGGGTGTGCCGAAATGGGTGGTGGGGAGGCATGCGAACGCAGGAAGGAGGAGGGCGAGGAGAAGGAGGAAGAAGGAACGCGGGGACCGTTTCTTCAAAACGAGGACCCAACACCACAGGATGGTTGGGAAAAACACATGAAACATCGTCCCGACTATTTTTTCAGTACTATTGGATATTCCTCATGTAGGGGGACATGCCCGACTTATGGCAAGTATAGAAGGCACAACCCGTGGATCCAAGTGCAAAACTTCAAGGGCACGTGGACGGCCACGCCGAGAGCACTGCAACGGCGCAGCAGCTGGCTCAACGGGCCGACCCATCTCTGGGATACATGGGTGCGGCATGCTCGCGTCGTGACGAAGTACGTACTTACTGACGCCGCGAGGATCCGGCAGCTGGAAGAAGAAACAACGGCATACACATACACTTTTGGCGCTCCGCGCGGATTTCTTCTTGGATCCGCGCTGGGCCCCCCTCCCTGGCGCGCGGAACGCGCCAGGGGCGGCACTGGAGGCGCCGCTGGGGGGCGGAGGAGGAGGATGAGGGGCAGGAGGGGAGGAGGGGGAGGAGTAAGAGGAGGAGGAGGAGGAGCAGGAGGAGGAGGAGGAGCAGGAGGACGAGGAGCGGAGAAGGAGGAGGAGGAGTAAGAAGAGGAGGAGAAGGAGTAGGATGAGGAACCGTTTTTTTTTTTTTTTTTTTTTGTTTCCCCCCCCCCCCCCCCTCCGAGGGGTAGAACAAACGCTTGTTTAACGGAAGAGGAAGGAGGCAGCCTCTTCCTCAGCATCGAGGGCGGGCCCTGGGGGCGGCGCCTCCTGGGCCTGACCACGAGGCCCCAAGGAGGGGGCCACTTGGGCCGCGGGCCCAGAAGGAGGGCCCCGCGGCCCACCAGGAGGCCCCAACAAAATCGAGCTCCGAAAACCTCCTCCTTCCTCGCCCAGCTCCCTGGCCGAGACGCGGCGCCGCATGGCCTCCAGCGCTGGGATGAGCTCGCTCTGCTGAGCGGGGAGGGGCACTGCACGTCGCCGAGGTTGCTGCGTCTGCAGCAGCCGCAAGCGATCCACATCTGAAAGGATATGGGGGACCACCCCTGGCGCACGATCGGACTGGGGGTGGAGTCCTCTCAACATTCTGCCAAGACGACAACGCGTGGCAGAGGAAAACAGACGGCCTGGACATTCGTTCTCGAGTCGTCGACTGAGGCGCTCAGTACTATAAGCCCCACACCGACGACAGAAGACCAGGGAGGGACCGCTCGACAGACGAGTGAACACCAGAGAATGGCCCATCCTCTCACGGCCCCTCAAAAACTGAAAATTCGTACGCTTCCCAGGGCAACCCCTCATCTCCAGCCTGGCCGCACACGTGTTGACTGCTCTGGCTTGGCAATCGTGACAGATGAAGCTACCCTGAGTGGCTGGGGCCGCCGTCCAGGCGTGCCAACGATGGGCTCCTATCTCTCGGGGTCGGGGAACCTTGGGCCGATCAGGGAACTGAGCGACAGGGAAGAGGGGCAAGACCGCTCCCACGACTCTCGCCGCAGCTCGAGCCCTGTCTATCATCCGATCAAGCTCTTCGAGGTCCCCCTGGCTATCCCGAGCATGGAGTAGCACAGCATTCTTAGCATGCAGGTCCGCCGCTCGATTCGCGAGACCGATTCGTCTCTCCGTCGACGGCAGAGCTTCGATGTCCTCAAGGCTCCGATGAGCGGGCGCGCGAAAAGCTTGCCCGATGAAGGGAGCCCCCTCCAGCTCAAATAATCAGCGCCTGAGGCCAACACACTTCGAGCGACACGATAAAACCTGAGATTGGCTCTGATTGTGCATCCGACCAACGCCGAGGCAATCAGAGTGAACCTGGACTGGCTGGCGTATGACGAAAGCTGGCGCAATGATCGCCATCTGCTCTGCAGCCTGAGGGGTCTGGGGCAGGGAAGGCCAACCAGGCCCTTGAAACCTAGCTACTATCTCCTCGGACCCCGACCGCATGTACACGCCAGCATAGGCCGCCCTCGAGAGCTCACGGACGGGCTTCGCGTGCACGACCCATCAACGACGACGTCGACGACATCCCCCAACACCGAGAGGTCCTCAAGGGGGCGGCCGTCCTGCCCAAAAACAGCAGGATACAGCTGGTCGGTCGGGGGCTGGAGGTAGCACGACGGATGCTTAAAGACCAGACGGTTCCACAAAAAGATTTTCGCACCCCGCCTGGACAGCCTCAGCGATTATCTCCGCGCTACACGTATTCTGCCTGGCCTCGACCACCTCAGGGGCTTGGCAGCACCACAACCTGTGATGGAGGCCATCAGGCCCGCCACGCAACGGACACTTCCCATCAGACTCATATCCATGGGATTGCAAGCGATCACTAGTGAACACAGCCTTAGTGAAACAACTAGCTATGACAAACTTCTGTCGTGCACTATACTTCTTCGACCTACACACGCACGAGCGCACCAAGTCAACACGCGCGCGCACACCATCTCCTTGCATGCCTAAGCTACGTGCCATGTCACGCTCATGCTGTCTCTGGACGGCCTCACGTAGGAGATGCTTGATGAGGGAATGGGAGGTATACAGTAGAGAAAGCTCCGTGAAGTTCTTAGGCTCCCAGCTGACCCTCTGAAGACACATCAACATTCGAACGATCGGGCCCTTCGTCTTTCTCCAAGGCATCTCAGGATCCCAATTGACATGAACCTGCTGAAACATATCTGCGAGCTGCGTCATAGTGAAGAGAGAGCGCTTCTGCGCAACCGCCGCCTGCCAGATCGTGGCTGCCCACTGCGCCGCAGGCGCCGCGGCAGCATCTGCAACAGGGTCGCCATGAAGCACGCACTTCGCCACTAGCGAGGCCCCTCGATGCGAGGGCGCCTGGAAGCTGAGGAGCGTAGCCCGAGCTCGTCTGAGCTCGTGATCGCTCATGCCCAACACCGCACTGCCGTAAGACAAGGCTGGCTTCAAGCCTGCCGTGTGAATCTTAGACATCCGATGCTTTCCGTGTGCCAACCATCTTCGAAATCGTAATACTCGCTGATGTCAAAGCTTGAATTGTTGAAATCGAATCCGTCGTTTTCGAAGCCCCCCTTTAGCCGACCGGGACTGTCCTGGAGCGAAGTCTACCCCGAGGTTGAGCGACGCCGACGTGACCATCCCTTCAGGCAATCCTCGGATGAAGTTGGTGGGCCAGAGATTTCGCTAGACCGACCGAGTTAGCTATCGTAACCGCCTTCGACTCCGAGATATCTGCTTTTAGCTCCTAATGAAACATTTGATGAAAATCGGCTGCTGCTGCAGGCGCTGCTCGAAGTAGGCTAGCTTTGTCCCCCATCACCAGTATCGTGTCATCGTCGATGTACGAGGATAGGCGAATCGTCGGGTGTCTCATCATGAAAGCATCGAAGGCCTCAGGCGCATACACCTTCACAAATGCATCGTTGAAGACATCACCTGCAGGGAGACCGCTGGAGGCAAACAGAGCCACTGTGTGAAAAGCTGGGCCTAGACGAACCAGTCTGGGGCACCTCCACAGGTTGTACATAGTCTTAACGATAACCTTAGGGGTGCCACATCTGTACGCTCTATCACGTAGAAGTTCTAGCTGGAAAGATTCGTAGTACTTCTTCCCGTCCCACTGAACTCCCAAGACAACCTGATCCCTGGTATCCGCCACCTCCGAAAGGGCCGCTTGGGCCCAAACGCAACCTTCAGCGCTCTTCCCCGCTCCGAAGGCCCAGTAGCCCCTCTCCGTTTCAGCAAAGAAAGGGTCCAACATGGGGCGGCGTAGTCTTTCCCAGACACGAACAACACTAGCGAGGAGTAGGATAGCTCGATGTCCTCCTGCAGGCTTATCTATCAGCGGAAAAACCATCCGCATAAAATGTCGCGGGGAGAGCCCGAGCCTTTCCACCGCTGCGTACAGAATACTCAGGGCGAATATGCCAGCATCTCCCAGCAGACAGATGTGCTTCGGATGGAACCCATCCAAAGTCGACGCCGTGAACTGGCAAAACTTTCTGGAAGCACTGCGAATCTCATCAATCGACGCCCTCGGGAAGCACTCACGATCAGGCACTTCCGCCACAGGTGGGGAAATCGATGCATGCCACTGCGCCTGCAAAGCCTCTGCCTCGCTGGCAAGAAGGTCATCAGGCCGACTCGAAAAAACACCTGGCGATCGTTCAACTATGCTGGGGTTCCAGATCTGCTGAAGCCGAGTGATTTTGTGCATTAGCTTCGCTGAGCCTCTCAAGGCTTCATCGCACCACTGGTTCCACGTCTGTGTGCGCAGCTTGGCAGCTGCGCTGGTGGCATGCTCAAACTCTGTGACCATGGAGGCTGAGAAGGACGCCGCTCGGTCCCACCATGGATGATCCAGCTGAGACGGGTACGATCGGAGACTGTCACGAAATGCTTGCACCTGCGCATCGAGTCGGACATCCAATCCTTCTCCTGGATACTCCTCCGAAAGACACGCATGATGTAGCTCGAGCCCAGCCGTATTCCTATGCAAGACCGGGTCCTCCTGGATCGTGACTTCAAATTCATGCCACACACGGTATAGCCACTGCCACCCACGACAAACTGCGACATCATCAGCAGCGCGAAACTTGCGCCCAATTACTGGCACCCATCGTCGAGCCAAATACCTATCCCGCGTGCCCGATTTGAAAAGGAAATCCAGCACCTGCGCCAGCTCCATCTCAACATCCTGCAGAAAAACGGTCCAGGCGTGATTAAGCTTCTGCCATGCCGCGCACACCCCATCATGTTCAGCAGCATGTACAGCATGTTCAGCCATCTCTCGGGCCGCCCTGTACGACCGTGGCTCACGGCGGGGACCGAAAGGTGGCAGAACGGGGAGCCGAACGTGCGAACAATAAACCAATTGCTTTAGCTCCAATACGCCAGGCCGAAGGTGAAGTCGCACAGGTTTGCGCGGCCCTCCATGCCACGACTGCAAGACTCGAACTTTATCAACCAAGCGTACCATATCATGAGAGCCAAAGAAATAGTCGATCGTCGAGGCCGAATTCGACATGATGCAGGTGTGCCGCGTAGGAACCACCGCGATCAGGCCCGCCTTGCGAGTGAAGCCCGACTCCTCAAGCACCTGAGGCTCGACATTCCAATCAGCTCCCGCTAAGATGGTGCCAGGCGACTTAGACGCGCTCGAGCCCAACATCTTCAATGTATGCATGTTGGCCGAGTTCAGGCCTACTGCGCAAAAGAGGTACGCAGAGTGCACCGTGAGCTCGGGCCATCCAGGGATGTCAACCTGGACCGAAATCAACCTTCCACGACAAATCTCGCCTCCAGTAGGGTTCCACCTTAGTCCCAGCTCCGATCGAACAAAGGCGGCCACCCCAGCAGAGTGCGAACCTCGATCACGCTCGAAGGAAGGACTGCACAGCATCCGATAACCAATAGCACGAGCTGCACGCTGAAGATCGGGGACAGCCACCTCCGCTGCGCCAATCTCCTGCGCACATGCAATCAACGAGTTGGAAGCGCGCAGCCGTTCAAGAAGTGTGGCACGGCAATTGCCATTGAACGACTCGAAAAATGAACACTATCATCTGCGGGTGCGTCACGAAAGCCTTTGTGCAGCGGTATCACATGCCCATCTCCATTGACAGGCAGCCCACACAAGAAAGGCATATCTGTAGGACGTCCGCCCAGGCTCCTGAGACGCTCCCCCGTATTAAGTCCTTGGACACCCAGCACATGTGGGCACGAGGGGTCTGCAGTTGCCTGGGCTCGAGTCGAACCTGCAATCGTAGAACTTGATGGAACAGCTCCTCCAGCCAAAGGAGGGTGAGCGTCGCGCCAGCGGACATCAGGAAGACTTCCTCTGGCGTTTGACCCCCATGGCTTGGAGCTGCTCCTCGAACTGGCGCTTGTCCCCCGCGAGCTCGATGAGCTCCTCCACTTCTTCGGCAGACAGGCCATCGTACATCGTAGCATCTTCCTCCTCTTCCTGTCCTGCTGGCTGTTCGTCAGCTTCCGCAGGTGTCATTGCCTCCTGTGGAGTAGACGGCGGGGTCGACTCCTTGAGCAGCTGTTGGTACTTCGCGAAAAGAGGGTTCTGCAGGAAATCCTTGACATCAGCATTCGCATCCAGGACTTCCTGCGAGAGGGTGGGACATGGCACCGACTCCGCCGCAACGGGCATGGTCCTGCGCAGCTCCATCTCGAGGGCGTCAACCTCGCGCTGCATGGCATTCTCCCTCTCGACCATCTCAGCAAGTGCGGCCTGGGCCTTTGTGATGAGCTCGTGCTGAGCCACCACCGCAGCCTTGGCCTTTTCAAGCTTCTTTTGTGCTGACTGGAGTCGAAAGGCAGCGTTGGTGTGTTGCTGGAGAGGTGGTTTGCTGCTGCGCTGGGCAGCTCGAGCCTCACGCAACTGATCTTGCAAGCACTTCTTCGCGGGGTCAGACTCATCAACTTGCTCCATCTGCTTGGGGGCATTTTCCAAGGACTCAATCCTGCTTGCACGCATATCATCAGGAGCATCTGAGCGAGAAGCAGACTGAGCGTGCGCAGCGCCACCTGTTGCTGCTGAGTCCTGGCGTACCCCCGCCGCTTTGAGCCGCTGGTCAAGCTTTTTGTCCAGGGCTTGTGTGATCTGTCTGACGAGGTCAGGAGGTGGTCCCGCCGCCCATCGTCCACTCGGTCCCCTCTGGGTATTGCTGGGCGACGGCTTCTCCCACTCCTTGGCATTCTTCTTTGCTGCCTGCACCACACGGTGAGGGGCAGCAACACCACATATGCACTTGATACGGCAGGCCCAATTCGCTGTGCGGGTGCACTGCGAGCAGGCCCATAGAGGCTGACGAGGGCCTCTGAGCACGGAACCATCGCCAGACATACTGCGGGTGTCGCGGCGATGGCTGAAGACTGAAAGCTTTTGGCCCGCCGACGCAGGCCGTTCTGAAGTTGGCGTCGGCAAGCTCAGAAATCTCTGAGCCAGAACGGCTGCCTTGAGCCAAAATGGCTACGGAGGAGGAGGAGCAGGAGCAGGAGGAGGAGGAGGAGGAGCAGGAGGAGGAGGAGGACCGGGACGACTGTAAATTGCACGAGCAATGCGCTCACATGGTCCCGAAAACTGTCACTCTAGAGGCGAACTCCAGATCCCCTCGAAATGCTTGGCATCTAGACTGCACACCTTCGCCGCTAGATAACACCCCATGGTCGCCGCGAGAGGAGGATGAAGAAGACGACGAGCATGACGACCTCATTGATGATTCTTGTTTGCCAAAGTGCGGCCAAGGACTTGAGCAGTACAGCAATTCACATTGTCATGCACGATAGCGGAGGCATCGTCATGAACGAAATCATTCTTGCAGGCGGCGGTCAAAGCGCCCATGCGCATACCCGAAATTGTTGGCAGGTGTGCGGTGCGCGATGCGGGATGACCTGCTCCTGGAGGCCCATGCTGTTAATCAAATCGACCCGCTCGGCACGGGATGAAGTGGTGGACATACGGAGCATCATTACAATGGTTCGCTGGTAGGCGCTCGAGCCCATTTGACCATACACCACTCTCGGGACAGAGGCGGTCGCCTTCACGTTCAAGAACGTGCGCAGACTGCCCGACTCCTGAGCAAAGAGCGCTACATCCAGCTTCAATATATGTGCCTGCATGCGACACATCGCTCCGCTGGAAAGCTCCGAAACGTGCCCAACATCCTCGTCGTCCCGCATTTCTGACCGATACACTGGAAAAGAATCACGGCGAATAGATACAATCGCCTTCCGTAAAAACCACCCCCCTTCCGTGACGTCGTCCTCGCCTTTCGAGCTTCCCGGCGGCCGCATACGTGCGTCTTGGGGCGAGGCGAGGGGGGGGGGGGTCACGGAAGGCAGTGGTTCGCTATAGGGGTCGGTTGGGCCGCCCCTGACGCGTCGCCTAGCGTCACTCGGGGAGACGTAAGACTCGGGTTCGGGGAACTCGGGTTGGCCTGACGGGGCCATGCTGAAAATGACAAAACCCAACCTGAGATTTGATGCGAGCTCCCGCCGCCAACGTCGCACGAAAACTGGACCGTCCAAATCCAAAACGCACTCGCCAAGAAGCGTCGGCAAGCCCGAGCTCCAGCGTAATCGAGTCTTTACGCTTCCCCGAGACGTGGGCACGCCGACGTACATCGGCTCGCTAGGCAAGACTCGGGAGCGGCAAAGAGGGGGGTGTCGAAGAGGGGTGTGTGCAAATCATGACCAGCGGCATGTGCGCGGCCCAGCGGGCGGGCCAGGGACGTAATGAAACAAGAAGAGGCGCCATGAGATCTGGGGAAATATCATGGCCCACGCCATGATATCCACCCCCCCCTAGTCATCACCCCCCTCTTTTCCGCCCCCGAAAGACGTGGAGGGGCTCGCGATCCCGGGCAGCGTCCGTGGAGCCCGCTGGCGGTCACATTGACGGCCGCGAGCGCCTCGAGTTCCATCCGCCACTGCCACGAGCTCTTCTGCCGCGCACGCCTGCTCTCGGGGCGGGTGGTCACGGGGGGGACCCAGGAAGGGGGGGGGGGGAAGAGAAGGGCCCCAAAGGAGCCCTTGCCCCTCTTGGGCCAGCAGGGGTCCAGAAGGGGCCCCAGGAGGCTCCTCTTGGGCCCCTCTCTTCACCCGCCATTTGGGTCGCCCCCCGATGCTCGTTCCCGCCCCAGTGCCCCAAACATGCGATGTCCTGGTTTGCTCCGTACTCGATCCCTGGAAGCCCTGACCCCTTCCGCCGGGGCCGGTGGTTCCCCCTGCAATCGTTCTTTGATGATCCCGGGGCCCGGCGAGGGCCTCCGAGACCGAAAATTGCCAAACACATATTTTTGTTTTTTGTTATGTATATATACAACATCTATTGTATGTATATGTATGTATATATGTATATATGTATACACAGTTATTTGCATATCATGCAACATACAAAAACAAACAAACTAACTAACACATCCAGTAAGCTTACTTGCATGGACGGGGGTGGTGGTGAACCTGCAGCAGGTGGCAAACGACTTGCACGTGCGGAGATCAGGCAAGACTAGAGGCACTTGCACGCCAATTCTCGCTTGAAGAGGGGCGAAGGGCGAAAGGGGAGGGGGCGAGAGCGAACGACGTGCAAGCAAACTTGCCGGAATCTTCAGAAATAACGAGCTCCCTCCCGCCGTTTTTTTCACGACGCGATCATGTCTGGGTGCGCCCTACTACCAGTGGGGGCCCGACCACAAGAAGCCTTCCACAAGAAGCCCAACCCTGAGACATCAGGACGTCCATCGATTTTTGTTGGTGTGGGAATGCCACGCTGCCCATCGCCAAACCATCGAAACCCAAGAAACCGAGGGCACCCTGGAGGCAAGCAGGGTACTTCTTGGCATGGGTCTCCACTGCACTGACGGGCAACGACAGGGAGGGATAGGGATAGGGGAAACATCGACCTGGAATCGGAGATACATCGCCGATAGATCGGCGATAGGCCTCCGATCGTGAATCCGCACCTTCCTGGGCAGGCTGGGGCTATCGGGCCCCTGACGGCGATCAATGGGCGATTGGGGGTTGATGCATCCACCCCTATGCCTATCCCCCCCTTATCGTTGCCCCCCGATGTATGGCAGAGTGAAGTACGTCCGGTAAGGCGCTTCGCTGGAACAATGCAGTAATGCACGCGCCACATTCATGCGGATCTGCACTTTTGAAGGTGCCAGCGCGGGCAGGCTGTCTACGGCAGGGCGAGGTAGGACGAAGGGGAAACGCGCTGCACTGCCGCGGGCCCGGCGACACCGGCCATGCGCGCAGCGCTGCGCCGCCGCGCTGCAAATCCTCTGCTCCGCGGGGCCGCGCGGCAGGATCTCCCCCGGCGTGCGGGCGAGACGGGCCGGTCTCCTCGCAGAGTGGCGCCTCGGCCATGGTCCAGTCGTCGTCTTGGGTTAGGTCGGGCATGTCCTCCTACAGGCGGATCACGGAAGGAAATGAAAATAGAAAAATAGTCAACAGATATCAAACAATAGTCAAACAAAATGGAACAATCGTCACCAGACTATTTTTGTACCATTCTTGACTGCTCGTCCTGCAGAGGGACAGGCTTGCCTAAATCTCGGGGCAGGCCGCGTTGAGACAGCGGCAGCTCAGAATCGCTCCGACGGCCTTGGATGCAAATTGGTGCGGGGGGCGACAAGTGAAGGGGTAGCGAGGGCTGCAGAAAAGGAACCATCTGGGGCCCCTAAGGGGGCCTTTCGGGCCCCGAAGGAGGTCTTTCGGGACCAAAAAGGGCACCTCTCGGTCATCACCCCCCACTAATTTGCGCCCAGGGCCCAAACTCGTAAATTTTCCAGGCTGCGTCCAGCTTTGGGCTTCCGCTGATTCTTCCAAGAAGCCTCTGGGAGGCCAGCTTAGGCCTGCGTGCGTGAGGCGGGCGTCTGTCGCTGGGGGTGCGGAAGGTGTGCACGACGGCGTCCTTTTTGGAACACGACTGAACGAGTTTTGAAAGGTTGTTTTGGGTATGGTCGTCTTTTTTGGCATGGTCGTCCTGGGTGGTATGCCTCGCGAATTTGGAATGGTGGTATCTCTGATAACCACATGAATGGGGTCCCAAGTTCGGCCGTGGCGACGACGACCCTCCCCCCCCCCATCCGAAGGCCAACTGCCGCTTTCAGCAGCCCGCCCTCCTCTGGTCGTCTCCGCCGGCGGGAGGCTGGCTACTCCCACGGCGCGGCCACGCCTGGCCAGAGCTCAACCCCTCGGGTCGGGCGCGGGGTCCCTGGCCACCTCGGCCATCTCCACCGACATGGAGGCCTCGAACTCCTCCGCGCGCCGCGCTTCGGCCGCCGCGCGCATCAGCGCGACGAAGCCGCCGTAGTCGGAGGAGGCGGTGATCTCGGCGAGGAAGGCGTCCCAGCCGGTCCGGTAGTCGGCCCGCGCGCGCGAGAGCGACCTCGCCAGTGCCACGAAGGCCTCGCGCGGCACGCCCTCTGCGGCCAGGAAGCCCTCCAGCTGCGCGTCGAACAGCTCCTTTTCGGTGGCACATCATGGAAGCCTCCTATACCGTCGTGTCGGCTCTTGCGAAATGACGCTCATTGACACTAGTCGACGCTAACTCGACGCTAATCGACGCTACATCGGCGCAATCTCATCGACTCCAGACGCTCACCGGCGCTAACCGACGCTAAAGACGGAATTGCGAGGGTATACCAGGCTCCGATGATTTGCTGCCGAACTCCTGGTACTGGCGGTGCAGGGCCGTCCACTCCAGAGGGTGGCCAAGCCCGTCGGCTTCCAGCGATCCTGGAAGAAGAAGAAACAGAAAAACACAGCACCCGCCACCTAAGCTTAAGTCGGGCAGGTCCTCCTACAGGCGGGTTTTGGAATAAAGCTGAGCCGGATTGAAAACATGCGCAACATCAAGATAGTAGAAACATCGTCCCCAGACCACTTTAGTAGACTATGTTTGGATACTCCTCCTGCAGAGGGACATGCCCGAACTAATTCTGCCTGCGCGGCACATCCCCTCCTCCTCCTCCTCCTCCTCCTCCTCCTCCTCCTCCTCCTCCTCCTCCTCCTCCTCTGAAGCGCACGAATCGAGATGGAGTTCTGCCGCTGCTCTCTCGGCCCCTGGGGCCTCGCTCCCACCCGATCGCCTGACGAGAGGCAGCGGAGGAGGAGGGGGAGGAGGCGGAGGAGGAGGAGGAGGAGGGGGAGGAGGCGGAGGAGGAGGGGAGGAGGAGGAGGAGGCGGAGGAGGAGGGGGAGGAGAAGGAGGAGGTGGGGGAGGAGGAGGAGGAGGAGGAGGGGGAGGAGGAGGAGGAGTGCGCACACCCTCAGGGGAGGTCAATGACCGAGGTGAGTCGGCTAGGCCTTGCGCATTCGCCTCCGTCTGAGCAGGCCTCGCGCGGTGTTCCACGCCGTGGCCGCTGCGGAGCGGGCAGGCCCAGCCCCCCTCTCGATCGCTCGGAGGTTGGACTTGCCCGTCTTCCCAGGGGGCTTGCACTTCAAGGCTAGACCTCGCAACACGCCACCTTCCTTGGCGGCCACAGATCCGCAAAACGTGCAATAGAAAGTCGGCCTGACGGGATGGGCCTCGACATGGTGGGATTCGCGCGGCCTCCCGGTGCCCACCTGGAGGATCCTGTGGGCCGCAAGGATGTGAGCCTGAGACGGGCTCCCGCCAAGACCTGGGGAGGCAAACCAGGCCCTCAACTCCTGACGGCCTCCAGCTCCTGACTGGCATTCAGAGCAGCAGAAACACCATGGTCCTCGTATCCCAACCACCATCTTTAGGGTATGCTCCGGAGCCATCATGGCCTTCTGGAAAGGGGTGGGACGGGGCTGGGGTGGCGGAGTCTGCGGCATATCGGCCCTCTGTCGAACGTCAACCTCCGCGCACGACTCCATCACCACAGCCAATCGATGGCGGATGAGTGCCGCCAGCTCTTCCACCTCGGTTATCCTGTCAGTGTCGGCAGGCGGGAGTTGGCACCTGGCGGCCGCCTGCTTTGCAAGTTCGGCCGCTGCTTCATTACCGTATCTCCACAGCTCAGGGGTCTGTAATTCCTGGGCGCGAGCATCGTCGGCATGACTCTCGACTTCATGCAAGGAGAGCGAGAAACATTCCTGAGCGTGGCATGGCAATCGCCAGGAAACCCTCCACAGGTCACGATTCTTTCGTGGCAATTTGGCTGGGCCCCTGTGGAAACCACGAACAACATACGAAGAGTCTGTGATAAAATGGTGGAGCCTACCTGGGAGGGTGCCGTGTCGGCCCGCAAGGTCCCCGAGGGTCTCTTTAGTGGGGGCGGCGGCGGCAGAGGCCAGAGGGGTCGCTGCTAAAAGGCCCTCCGGTGCCATCTCCCGCTCCCCGCCATTCCACCCCCAGAAATGACCAGGCGGACCCTGGCCGACAGCCCACTCCTAGGTGCGCAGCTCTTCTGAAGGGGGCCGGCGCTTCTGTCCAGCCACTCGGGATCATTCCGCGGAGCCAAGAGCAAGGAGTGTCGGCAGCCGCCGCGATGGCGCGATCCCTGAGGTGGTCCGACTTGGAACATTCACTGATCTCGTCATTGGACGAGCTCGTTTTCCGGGACGTTCACCTGGCAACGCTTACAGCAAGCCTGGCCTGGCTCGATTAAGCCAGCCTGGGCCAATCTGTCGCGTGTCCAGGCGCCTGCAGCGTAAATAGACACGAGGGCACCACGATATCAAGGCGCCGTCGGGATGGACGACTTACTCAACTTATTTAAAAGGCGCCTCTGGGTGAGAGTGTCCGCCCCCCCACCAAACCAGTTCCGTTATGGTGACGGCTTTCTCCACGCCAACGCTGGGCGCACAACGAATGACGGAGCTCGTGCAGAAACGGGTCAAGAGATCGTCCGCGGGGCTCGCAGGCTCCCAGCCTGCGTCGAGAAGCACACAGATGAAGGCCGACATGGGCCCACGGACCCCAGACCAGCGTCGCTGAGGCGAGAGGGCCAACATGCGACGGGCAACAATCGGCCAGGACCTGTGCAGACGAGACCGGACAAGCGCGGCTAGGGTCCGATGCAAACTGGGAGGATGGGGAGGAGGACTATTCTTGAATTTGCCCCCTGTGGAGGAGGAACAGATTCGGAGCTCGCCGCTGGTTCCTTGAATTGGCGCTGGACCCCCCCCCGCCCCTGGCGCATAGCGCGCCCCGGAGCGGCGCTGTGGGCGCCGCCAGCTTTAGTTCGGGCACGTCCCCCTACAGGCGGATATTGGACGGAAGGTAAAACATATCCCAACAATATTCACAAATAGCCAAACATAGTCGAAAAATCGTACCCAGACTATGTTGCGACTATCTCTGAATATTCCTCCTGAAGACGGACAAGCCCGACTTATCGCCAGCGGGGTCCAGCGACGAGCCACGAAATCCGCACGGAGCTCCGACAAGACACGTTTATGTAGTGCAGCTGTTGTTCTTCAAGTGCGGTCCTGGACAAGGAAAGAACGCCACAAACATAAACTTTTGGGGCTCCGCGAGGGTTTCTTGCATCTGCACTGGACCCCCCTCCCTGGCGCGCGGAGGGCGCCAGAAGCGGCGACAGAGGCGCCGCCGGGGGGACCCAGCGCAGATCCAAGAAATCCGCGCGGAGCGCCACACGTTTGTTTATGGCGTTTTTTCTTCTTCGAGGTCCGCCAGAGGGTTCTAACGGTGGACAGGGGACATGGGGAACCCGAGGATGTTTGGGCTGGCAGCTGGTTCGCCTGAGACTGCACATTTGCTTCGTGCACCATGGCATCGCTTCAATGCCGGCTGACGGGGTTCTGGTTTTCTTCCTTCCCGCGTCGCACCCGCGTCTCCTCCTCACCCCTCCTCCTTTTTCTCCTTCTCACACAGCACAACGCAGCACAGCACAGCGCAGCGCAGCGCAGCACAGCTCAGCACAGTTCCCCACATGTTTTGTGGGGTTATGGTTTTCTTTTCTGCCGCGTCGCACCCGCGTCTCCCGCACACACACACACACACCTCCCCTCCCTCCTCGTTCCTCCCCTCCTTCACTTCCTTCCTCCCTCCACCCACGCGCAACACATGCACGGCACGTGCATCAGACACGCGTTTACATGCAGCCGCACGCATGCACACACACACACCATACGACGCCAGTGCACGCCCGTCATGTTCACTGGACCGTACACCCACGACGTACGCGCTACATACTGGGCACACACATGAGGCACACGTCCCGATACGGCCGCACACGCATCATCCACATACACATGACATGCCATATGCAAGGCGTGCGTGTAGGAGTCGCAGTGCGTGATAAGCGTGGCACTCTCTCGACAACAGAGGGAGTGCGCAGGGGGTGGTCTCTCAGCGCGGCCTCCATGCGTGCCATGGTCGGCGAGCGTGGCAGGCGTGGCACGTTCTCGACAACAGAGGGGGTGCGCAGGGGGTGGTCTCCCAGCGCGGCCTCTATGCGTGCCAGGGTCGGAAAGCGTGGCAAGCGTAGCACTTTCTCGACACCAGGGGGGGGCGCAGGGGTGATGTCTCAGCGCGGCCTCTATGCGCGCCAAGGTCGGAGAGCGTGGCCGGCGTCGCATTTTCACGACACCAGCGGGGGTGCGCATGGGGTGGTCTCTCAGCGCGGCCTCTATGCGTGCCAGCGTCCGAGAGCGTGGCAGGCGTGGCACTTTCTCGACACCGCAGCGGGTGCGCAGGGGGTGGTCTGTCAGCGCGGCCTCTATGCGCGCCAGGTTTGGAGAGCGTGGCAGGCGTGGCACTTTCTCGATGCCAGAGGGGGTGCGCAAGGGGTGTTTTTTTTTAGCGCGGCGTCTATGCGTGCCAGGGTCGGAGAGCGTGGCAGACGTGGCACATTCTCGACGCCAGAAGGGGTGCACAGGGGGTGGTCTCTCAGCGCGGCCTCTACGCGTGCCAGGGTCGGAGAGCGTGGCAGGCGTGGCACCTTCCCGACACCGCAGGCGGTGCGCAGGGGGTGATCTCTCAGCGCGGCCTCTATGCGTGCCAAGGTCGGAGAGCGTGGCAGGCGTGGAAGTTTCTCGACAACAGAGGGGGTGCGCAGGGGTTGGTGTCTCAGCGCGGCGTCTATGCGTGCCAGGGTCGGAGAGCGTGGCAGGCGTGGCAGTTTCTCGACACCAGAGGGGGCGTGCAGGGGGTGTTCCTCTATGCGTGGCACGGACAACTCAGTGGGTGCACGCGGGGTGTTAATTCAGCGCGGCCCCATCTGCGTGTCATGGCGGGAAAGCGCGGCATGCGTGGCAGCCCGAGCCGTAGACACCCTGGCCTGAATCTGCTCGAATATTGCAGGCGCTGCCTTGCCCCCCGCGCCGCCCATGCCGCCCGAATGTCCCATTAACGCGCTGCCGCCTCCGTTTTTGAATCTAAAAAATGCATGACATACGCAAGTGTCGAGGTTCGCATTGTCAATCTGCGACGTTGCGACCCAGCTTTGGTCAAACACGCATTTATTAATTCTTACCACCGTCAAGTGAAGAATTGGTGGCCCGATCTGCTTCTTAACGGGCACGATGAACTGCTCCATCAGGGAGGGGGCGACGATACCCGAAGGGAGTGCCTGGTGAGGTCCCTGCTGAACCCTTCCTCAGGCGGGTTCCCCGCTGATCAGCTGGGGGAGTCGGATGGGGGCGATGACTCGCCGCTGGTGAAAATTCGGCGAGTCGGCGATGTCGGCAACGGGGGTGTTTCCACGCCCGCGCATGTCGCGCCCATCACGTCCACGCCCGTCAAGTCCACGCCCATGCAAGCCTTCACCCCTCAGCGTTCCCCAAGAGTTTTGCTTGCTACCTCTGTTCGTTCCCCACGCACCCCTTGCGGGTTGCAGGTCGTGGTTTCTGAGCGCGGCCGGTATCCGAGCCGGTCGTCCAGGGCGTAGGAGGCGTGGCATATTCTCGTAAACTTAGGGGGTCAGCAGGCGGTGGTCTCTCAGCGCGGCCGCTATCCGAGCCGGTCGTCCAGGGCGTAGTAGGCGTGGAACTTTCTCGACACCATAGGGTGTGCGCAGGGAACGGCCACCAGCATCATTCGCACATGTTTCACTTCAGCTATCATCGCTCCAGCCATAAGATAAGTATGTGGGGGTCCTCGGTAGCACAATTTTTTGGTCGAGACGGCCACGATCCCCTTGCACAAATAAACTGGGGTATGCCGTGCTCTCCGTGTTCCTCCTGCTCTTGTGTTGCCACAACTTCAGTCCCATGTTCGATTCATACACAAAAGAACATGCGCTGCCGCACTCCCAACTCTGCGAGTTGTCTGACCTTCACTCCCGCGTACGCTTCTGACGCAAATGTGAACACCCTACCGCACTTCGTGCGATTCCTGAGGCTTCCTCGAACTACTTCAGAATGCACGTTCTCACTCGCAGACACCCTACTTCTCGACCCGCCTCTTCACCTTTGCTGCCATTAGGCTGCTTTGCTGGGGTACTTTCTTCGAGATCCTGCGTGCGCGAAGCCGACGCAGTGCTCACCCACGAAGGCGCGCAGCCGCGCGCGAAAGTGGACCTCCTCGAGGGCGCCCAGCATGCGCTGGAAGCCTGCCGCGTCCGCGTCCGACAGCAGCTCCTTGGCATCGTCACGGCGGGATTGTGTTGCGACGACGCCGGCGGGGGTCTCCGACACCCGCGTGGACAGCTCCACCACGCGCTCGCGGCTGTCTGATCGCGCAGACCGCTCGGCACGGCGGCCGCTTCTGGACCACCTGCGGCGTCGGCGCCACACGACACCGCCCGCGCTGGGGTTGCCGCCGCGTCGGCGTGAAAAGACAGGGCTCGAGCCGAGCAGTGCTTCTCGTTCTCGCTTTTGTTTGGCCTTCCTCGTCCTGGCTTCGTTCCGCCTCATCAAGGGCTCCCAGCTTCGCGCTTCGCGCCGCGCGAAGCGCGCGCTCTCGCGCCGCCTCCAAGGGGAGAAGAGGAGGATGAGGAGGAATCGGAGCCGAACCGCGAAGCGCGAATAACTTCGCGCCCTCGAGGGCGCCCTTGCTCATGCCCCTGATCAAAACGAAAAAACGGTCCGCGAAATCGCCACAGCACCGTGCAGCTCGAGCCCTGTGGCGCGAACCTGCGGCAGACCTATCCTCGTCCCCACTGGGAGCGCGTCGGCCCGGGGGTCCGACCTGCGCGTCCCCAGTGGGGCTAGAACCTCTCCTCTCCGCCAGGGCTTCGCGGCATCCCTCCCCACCTCGGCGGGGCAGGCTCAGGGCTATAGGCAGGGCATGTCCCCCTACAGGCCGATGGTCGAAGAAAAATGAAAACAAAAAAAACAGATTCAATCATGGTCAGAACATATTCAGAAAATCTTCCCCTGACAATCTTTTGACTATTTTGTAATCTTCTCCTGTAGAGGGACAGGCCCGACTTAAGCGCAGGGCGCTGCGGGGCCCTGGACCCTGCTGGGGAGGGGGGCAGGTCCGACGACCCCGGCATCCGACGAGGCTGCGCGGGCGCCGCGGGCGCGACGCCGGCACGACAACAGGAGTGGGTCTGGAACTCATGGCCGGTGGTGCTTCTTTCCTATGCTCGAGTCCAGAGCATTGTGCTTCGCTTGCTTCGTGCAAGGGAGTCCCTGCCCAGCTCGGCAGAGAGGGGTAACGTAGCAGCCCGCAGATGCGGATAAGAGTGATGGGGGCGGAGGGGACGTGGGCAGTCTGCGAGACTCTGGAGAAGCCCGCCGCAGGCGCCAAAGTTACACACATTACACAACGAGCCCGCCGCGGGTGCCGATTTTTTCTTCAAACCAATATGGATCGGTCGCGGGTGGGTCGTGGGTGGGTCGCGGGTGGGTCGCGGAGTGGGTCGCGGGTGGGTCGCAAGTGGGTCGCGGGTGGGTCGTGGATGGGTCGCGGATGGGTCGTGGGGTGGGTCGCGGGTCGGGTCGCGGGGTGGGCCGCGGGTGGGTCGCGGGTGGGACGCGGGTGGGTCGCGGGGCGGGTCGCGGGTGGGTCGCGGGGGGGACGACAACGACGACAACAACAACAACAACAACAACAACAACAACCACAACCACAACAACAACAACAACAACAACCACAACAACAACAACAACAACACCAACAACAACAACACGAACACGAACAACACCACCACCAACAATAACACGAGTAACACCAACTACAACAACAACAACAGCAGCAAGAGCAGCACCAACAACGCAACAAGCATAATCTTCACTACGGATTCTCACTTCAGCCACGCACCCAGGGACCATGAATGACCGTTCGGCCCCCTCACTCTGATAATCACAAGGCGAAGAAAAACAGTCAATCCTCGCGCTCTCGGGAAACGACACCAAGAACACACAAATAAATACACACAAATAAAAGTATTCCATTTATTTTCCTATATTTTCTTGGTTTTTGTATTCACCCCCACTTGCCATATTTTCCCATATTTTCTTAGGAATCGGCGATTGATTGTGTGTTTTTCCCTCCTGAATCTTGCGTGCCGGAAATGACCGAATCTCCGTCAAAACAGTGTGGGTGTGTTGCGGGTGGGCCGCGCCGCGGGCGGGCATGCTGCGGGTGGGTGGCGGGCGAGGGCCACGGCAAACACCAGCAACCGCAGGAAACCCACTTCTGGCCATCGCTCGGACGTCCACTCCCTGTGTTTGTTTTCGGTTTCGTGCGTGTTTTTTTCGCCAAATGATCAAGGATGCTCCTCGAAGGTCCTCGCCAAACAAAAAATGCACACGTCCGAGCGATGCCAGGACTTCAGGCGCGCACCCAGGAGAGGTGTACGACTTGTCGGTCCTTTGGCCCTGAACTGTGCTGGAATCGGTGCGGGGTGGGTTACATCTGCTCGAGCCCGGCCCTTATCCGCTTAGCATTCGGTCGGGCCCGTCCACCGACAGGCCGACTTAGGACGAAAGATAAAAAACAACCCACAATACCCCAAACAAAATTCAACAAATACTCAAAAATAGTCAAAGCATTGTCCCCGTACATTTCTGGGTAAAACATATATTAGCTTTTAATATTCCTCCTTTGCAGGGACAAGCCCGACGTAAGAGTAGAAGAACATACGCGCACTGCATAGGCGTGAACTTTCGGAGTTCCGTGTGGATTTCTAATATCGGCGCTGGACCCCCTCCATGGAGCGCGGAGCGCGCCAGGGGCGGCGCCGGAGGCGCTGCCAGGGGTGCCCAGCCCCGATTGGAACTGCGAAAATCTATGTTTCTGCAACTTACCCTTCTTCGACTCTCGGACGCCCCAAAGAGAACCAAGCGACGATCGCCATGCACAACCGGAAGTCTGAACGCCTTCCTTTGGACCAGCTTTTCATCCCGAGCCGTTTTCTGCCAAAAAACTCAACGTCGCGATTCTTAGCAAACCCCGCGCCGATCCGAATGGACGCTTCCGAGAACAGCCGCGCGGCGATTTCCCCCTTTTTCCAGGAGACGTTTGGAAGGCCTCGGGGCATGGCGAGGGCCTTCTCAGGGGCCGAAAAAGCGCCAAACCTCCGCCTTGACTTTTTCAGTATGTTGGAGGTGGATGTCCCTGAGTCGGGTTGTGGCAGCAGCAGGAACAGCGGATGCCGTTTTGCCTGAGCCAACCCGGCAAGGGACCACGAACGTCGTGAGTCTTGGCTCCAACTCTCTCGTGAATGAAACGGATGCTAAAGCTAAGCGCTGAAAACTGGAACTCCATCGCATGGGTCAGACTTTCTTGTAGGTTTAGCAGCCCCCATGCAAGCACCACTATACAATCAAGACAACTGTCCTGCCAAGCAAGACCCTGGGGAAAGGGGAGAGAAAGAGAAAGGTTGCCGGACTCCGGGCCCAGAGCGACACTGAAGGAAACCGACCAAGACACGAGCTCAGAGTCTTGAGCTAGAGTCTTCCTGGAGGCGGCCTGGGAGCGATCCTTGCTTCCTGGGTTCTGCTTGCGTCGATCCAGCTCCTCGGCCTCGTCTACGAGGACCAGCTCGCCATGGGTGAGCAGACTCGCCGGGGCGGCATTGCCCTTGGATATGTCATCTTTCGTTAAAGCATCCACGGGCATCCGGCCGTGGGGAATCCAGCGGGGTGCCCGCTGGCCTTTTCTAACGTCTTGCGCACCATTGCCAGATCCAGTGCCGTCCTCCTGTCCCAGGCACTGGTGTTGCCTTCCCTGAGCATTGTGTCGTGGATGCTCTTGGCGTCTACGACGTGGACCTGCTCTTCACGACCGCCGAGGCGGCAGTTGCTCCTGAGAGCGGTAGTGAACGGACCTGCTCTTCGGCAGTAGTCCGAAACGTCCGCATCTCGAAACATCGCGTCTCGGTGCGAAACTTAAAGAAACTTTACTTCCGCCGCTGCCGCGGACAGAGCTTGCGTTTCGCCGGCCAGGGTCGAGGTAACTTTCCGGCGGAGCTCTGAACTCCTCCATCCGAGGGTAGACGCTCGAACCACGCGGTTGCCAATCGCGCTCTCATCCGTGGCAGGCACCATCCATGCGCCCTGCGTGGGATCCTCAAGGAGGCCCCTCTCGCCCACTTGACATTCGTTCGCCCCGACCCCTCCGGCGTCGGATAACGATGCGAAAGCCATTCTTTCTGGGTCGAGGCGCCAGATGCTCAGGCCTCTAGAGGCCGTCGCACTCAAGTGGCGGACCATCTTGTTAGCACAGGACGCATCTCCTACCGTGGGCTGCTTGAGCCTGCTAGCCAGAATGCTGGCCGTTCCCGCGGCCTCTGGTCGAGAGTCACGCCCGACCCAATTCGGTCGAGATTCACGGTCGAGATTCCGGTTAGGGCGGCGAGCTCTTCCTAATCGAAGGGGGGCTTCTTCTGACCCAACCGTCCCCGGGCGAGAGTGACGGGTCGGTTCTCCTCGAGAATGTATTTTTACCTAACAGCTCTTGCTGATAGGTTTCTACTGGTATCAAAAGAGAGCAGCATGACTCCTCAGGGGGGTCTGGGCGTCTGGGCGGGACCCGGGGAACTGCCGCCGGAGCCGAAATCGCTGGGGACATCCTCGCGAAATCGCTCTTGGTGCTCCCAAAACTCCATTCCTGGGCCACATTTTGGATGCCCGGAGCCACCGTAGGCCACTTCGTGCTCTTCGACTTCGCAGAACTCCATTCCCGGGCCACATTTTGGATGCCCGGAGCCAACTGTAGGCCACTTCGTGCTCTTCGACTTCCCAGAACTCCATTCCCGGGCCACATTTTGGATGCCCGGAGCCAACTGTAGGCCACTTCGTGCTCTTCAAGTTCCCAGAACTCCATTCCTGGGCATGATTTTGAATGCCCGGAGCCAACTGTAGGCCACTTCGTGTTCTTCTAGTTCCCAGAACTCCATTCCTGGGCCACATTTTGAATGCTGAGGCAGGCTGATGCTGCGGCCGAGGCAGGCTGAGGCTGAGGCAGGCTGAGGCTGAGGCCGAGGCTGAAGGCAGACTGAGGCTGAGGCTGAAGCAGACTGAGGCTGAGGCTGAGGCAGGCTGAGGCTGAGGCTGAAGCAGGCTGATGCTGAGGCAGGCTGAGGCTGAGGCTGAGGCTGATGCAGGCTGAGGCTGAGGCAGGCTGAGGCTGAGGCCGAGGCTGAAGGCAGACTGAGGCTGAGGCTGAAGCAGGCTGAGGCTGAGGCTGAGGCAGGCTGAGGCTGAGGCTGAGGCTGAGGCTGGCAGGCTGAGGCTGAGGCTGTGACTGCGACTGCCGTTGCCGCTGCGACTGTCATCGCGAATGCGACTACGACTGCGAGAACAGCAGAATTCGACAACTGGATTTTCATCTGAATCTTAAGGGGAATGCTTTCAGATATGCTTCTACACATCGCTGTTAGGTTGCTTTGCCGGGATAATTCCCGGTCGATGGTCGCGCGCTGCGGGCCGGCGCGCGCAGATCGTCCTGCGTGCTCGACGGGCCCCGGGTGGCAGTCGCGGTACTTCCCGGAAGTGAACCTGCGCTCGAGAGTACTCCTGATCCACTGCCTGGACTCGGACGAGTGGCTGGCTATGAAGAAGTCGCCCACCTCCAAAATTATCATGTTAACTATTTGTCCTCTTGAGTCGTACCGGGCCCACCAGCGCGGTTCCAGGAGGCTTCGACAGAAGCCCTTGTCTGTCAGAAAGCGGACGATAGTTTTGCGCCATGCTAGAGGCGCGTCGTTGAGACCCTAAACATTGACTTTCAAACGGATGAGCGAACCGGCCTCAACCTTAATTCCTTCGCATGGTTCCACATATGTTTATCTTTGCGAGCGCTGCGCTGGATCCGACTGGCAAAATGCTTTCTTGACATCGGCGATATCACCGAGGAGGGAAAAAGTTCATCATCACCTGAATGAACATATGGATGAACCTGGTCTGGGGCGCGGGGGAATAAACGAATAATGAGCCTATGTCCGGATATTTGTGTCCGTGCACACAGCAGCTTGATTTTGCCCTCCACTGGCTTAGACCTGCGCACCATTCGGCTGGTCATGATGCGCTCAGGACAAGAGCGCATCATTGCCGCAGCCCTCCTTCGGAGGTATAACTTCTACCGCTCCTGAGTTGGCCATGCTCTGCCG